AAAAGAACATGGCCAAACACTGCTCCTTTTTTTCCCAGAGATAGAAAACATCTTTTAAACCACCCTCCTTTTTTGTCTTTTAATTTTTTTAAATGCTGGAAGAGTAAACTTTTTTTCTCAAAAAACAAACAAAATCTGTAAAGAAGAAGGTTCACAGTGGAAACCTTCAAAACAAAATAGAAAGCCGCTTAAAGTGCAGAGCCCATCCTGAGTGGCAGTGGGCTGCAAGTCACAGCTGTGGTCACAGCTTTTCAAACTGCAAAGAGAAAATTCTTTAGTTTTATAGCATGAAAAAACCGGTATAATACTTGCATTAATAATCCTACATCAGTATCTTAACTTGATCTTTTAAACTCCAGGATACCACAGTAAGGTAAGCAACATCAAGGCATAGTAGAGAGTGCACACCTTTAAGGATGCCCTTGAGAAAACACTTACCCTTGAACAGCTGCCCCACTCCCCCATATTGCCGATTAGATGGCGAGAACATCACTCAGTGCAAAGGTAAAAGATGATGTATGAGCTGAGATGATATTTTTAATAGATATAAAATCTTAATTTTACATGTAAAATTTTACATGCATGTCAACTGTTTTACATGCTTTCAACTTTTTACTGTTATGCCAACTCTGACTGTTGCAGGAGGCAAGAGGACCCAGGGGACACATACCTGCCAGTTCTGCAAGCACCTGGGCTCAGGTGCTAACTCCGCCTCCTACTGTGTTAACTTTGGAGACATTTCTAATCCTTGGACAGGCTTTTGACTCTTAAAATGGGATGATGAGATTAGCTGTTACTTAGTATTGTATGTAGTAAGGAGCATATGAACTGTTTATTTACAGAGTCCTTAGTACAGTTCCTGGCACACAGGAAAAGTGACTTAAGTGCTTGCTTTTATCATTACCTACTATGGCCAGCCTTTGAGTCTTCTCATTTGGAAAGGAATTTTGTTTGCAAAGCTAGGGCCTTATCAGTGAAAGAGAAAGCCAGATTTGCCAGGCAGAAGATTCTTGCACAAATACGCTCACAAATACGCTCAGTATTTGTTATCATCAAAGATGTCAAAGCTGTCAAGTGATTGATAATAGGGAGATAATCAGACACCATATTTTAAGCATTTTATTTTTTCCCCTCTGTGTGTGTGTATGTGCATGTGTGAGAGAGAGACAGAGACAGAGATGGAGACAGAGAGACAAAGACACAGAGAGAAAGAGAATATATGTGTGTGACAATGGTGTATGTGTGTGGTGTGTGCACATGTGTGTATGCAGGTTGTGTGCATCTGTGTGCGCACGTGCAGAAATCAGAGGAGGACACCAGCTGTCATGGTCTATTACTCTCCACCTCACTCCTTTGAGACAGTGTCTTTCACTGAACCTGGAGTTAGACTGGTGTCCAGCAAACCCCAGCCATCCTCCTGTCTCTGCCACCCTGGCACTGGAGTTACAGGTGCACAAAGCCACACTTGGCTGTTTACATAGGTGCTGTGATTCAAACTCAGTGCTTTTACCCACTATGCCATCTCTCCAGTCTTTAAATCAGATTTCTTAAAAGCATCTTTCCCACTTTAAGAAAAATTAGGACTAAAAAAGGAGACATTTCTATATGGTTTACTTTCTCCACTATGCAAAATGTATTTTTTTCTACAGTCACAAAATAGAGCTATCCTGTGTAATAGAACTGTGGGTATTTTGGCCTTCTCCTTTGCACTCCATAACATGATTCCACCCTCACTTCCAACACTCAGCTGTGAACTAGGCAAGTTACTATACTTGTCTGAGTTCAGCATTCTCATTTACATAATGATGAGTCCATTTCATGAAGTTGAGATAGGAGAAGCAAGGTCTAGAGTCCACGTGGGGGGAAGGCTGTGGTCAACTACAATGTGCATTCCCTAGGAGATAAATATAAGATAAATACGGATAAATACATCTGGAAAAGGGGGCTGGAGAGATGGCTCAGCAGTTAGGACCACGTGTTGCTCTTCCAGTTGACTTGGGTTCTGTCCTAGCACCCACATGGCAGCTTACAACCATCTATAACTCCAGTTCCTGGGGATCCGAAGCCCTCTTCTGGCCTCTGCAGGTTTGTATGCATGTGGTGCACTTAACTACATGCGGGCGAAACACTCATACATGTAAAAATTAAAAAATAAATATTTAAAGCTTTAAAAAAATTGCTGAAAAAATTCTGGATTTCATCACCACAAAGAAATAATAAATGTTTAAGGGATAGATATGCTAACTATCTTGATTTCATCAGAATACAATATAACATGTATAAAACATCATACTGTACTCCATAAATGTATGCAGTTATTATGTCAATCAAAATAAAATAATAAAGTAAAAAAAAAAACCTGAGGCCATTTATAAAGCACTCTACACAGTGTTAGAGACATAGCGAGCACTCAGCAAATGATAATTTAGATTTTTCTTACATTTTACTTATTAATTGTGTGTGTGTGTGTGTGTGTGTGTCTACCATTGTGTGCATATGAAGGTTAGAGAACAGCTTTCTCCTTTCACTGTGCATGTGGGAACCCGAGATCTAATCTAGGTCGTTAGGCTTGGTGGTAAGTGCCTTTTAGTCATTGAACCCTCTGGTCAGTCCATCAATAAGTGACAATTTATTATGTTTTCATATGGGTATTTCCTAATTTTTACCCTGAAATATTTCAAAGTTGGAATTATGAAACAACTCAAACAAGTTGAGTAGTGCTTCAGTGGTAGCCATTATTCCTTTTTGCATCATCCTGTTAGTCCTAACCAGTCTTGCCAACCTGCAGCCCCATGCTGTAGCTAGCCCCATGTCTGCCCTGGACAGGAAGCCAGGCTCAAGGCATTCTTGCCAATGATGGCATTATTTTGCTCTGCCTCCTTGGACAAGTGACTTGGCCTCTCTGTACCTTAGTTATAAATGAAGAAGTCAGCCTGGATAATCTTGCAGTGACTCCCTCCTTTCCCTGATCTTTGATCTTCGAGCCTTTCCACCCTGTAGTCCCCGACCTGACCCTTCCCTTCATTCAACGACAAACTCTCACTTTCTCCCCCCTGGGTCCTTGCCATATTAACAGCAATACCCTGCCTTTCTTGGAGTTTGGATCTCATTTTTCTGTAGCCCATGAGCTCTCACAGTTCAGGCAAAAGCAGCTGTGACTTCCACCTTAGTGTTTCATGTGGTGACTGATGAACACAGGATTCAGAAACCTGTTGTGAAACCTCTGTGCCAACCAGTTTTCCTGGTGTTGTCCGAGCTATGCTCTCCCAGAGGGAACAGAAGACAGATGACAGTTCTCTGAGGATACTAAGATGGCAGTCATGGCCTGGGACCTGGAGTCTAGGAGAGGCTCTGCCTTTCCTGGCACCTTCTGTGGAGAAGCCACAGAGTGGAGCTCCAGGTAGATGGTGACCTGACTGGGCTCCCATCAGCCCACACCACAGAGCTGGGTAAGAGTACCTGCAGGTACTGTGCTCTGTGAGGTCTGACCTGCTCCTTTTCCTTCCTTTTTCAGACCATGGGGGACGTGAAGCTGGTTGCCTCATCGCATGTGTCCAAAACCTCCCTCAATGTGGATTCTCCAAGGGTCAGCTCCACGCCCCTGACTGAGGCTCCTGCTTTCATTCTGCCCCCTCGGAACCTCTGCGTTAAAGAAGGAGCCACCGCCAAGTTCGAAGGGAGGGTAAGAAGTGTGGTCGAATGGGAGGCTGGAAAGGATGGAAGTGGCCACTGCTCCTCCAATCTTGTCCTCAGCCAACTGTGCATCTCAGAATGCCTAGTCTTCCTTTAGACCTTAACATAAATTAAATGTATACCATATTCCTCTATTTCTTAGATTATGGTTTTGGTCTGTATTGGGGGACTCAGGAAGGGAGGGGGCTATGTAACTTGACAATCCTGAGGTGTTTTGCTGTTATGTGTGTTCTGGATACATTATGCTACCTTAATGACAGAAGAGACGGCCTGGGAGCAGGAGGAATGTACCTTGGGTTTAAATATATGCTTCAAAATCTGGGCCCCTGAAAATTGACTGATTTTTTTCTCTTGTATTTTCTCTGGAAGGTGTTCCATTATCCCACCTCATGTATCCATCTAGAGGGATGGGAGACCAGATAGGACCCTTGATTTCATACCGTCGCCTTTTGTCAATGAATCTTGGTCCCTTGCCCTTGTGGGACCTCCATGTCTTCTTCTCAAAGTATGTGTGACAGGTCCTTGCCTGTGTCAAATAAGCAGAGATGAGCACATTGGAGGATAGCTGTAAGAACAGCGGAGGTGATATACCAAGTCAGAATGTCTTTTAGTTAAGCGGCTGGGCACCAAATCAACTTTACATGGAAGTACACATGGACATGATGGAGAGTTGTGGGTAATGCTTGTTTGGGGATCAATCACAAGGGATCTACCCCAGGAAATGCTTTGGAAGCTTAAAGGCTTTGCTGTGAGTGCTCACGACTGAAGTGAGAGGAATTCATGTTTCCTGGTGACTTTGTAAGGGTGAGCTTCTAGAAGCTTGTAAAGAGGTCCAGCAGATGGCTCTTTGATGACACCTTTGTGTAAGTGGCAGTACTGGAGCATATGCTGGGGCTTCTGTCTGGGAAATGGGCTGGAGAGCTCCAGCTCACTGAATCCTGTGCTAGGTAGAGGCCTGTCCAGTCAGGACCATTTGCTAATAACTCTGACCTAATATTGTTGTATTTTATGTCTTGGGGACAGTGTTAGGGGGTATCTGCGAGCTCCATCAACAGTCTTTTGTTGCCTTGAATCTAGTCCCCATTCTCTCATCTCCACAGCAGGAAGAAATCCTAGGAGTTCAGAAATGGCTCAAGGGACCGTAGAAAGGAAGTACTGGTTCCTACCTCAGCATTGAATCATGACGCTAAGTGAAAAAAGTCAAACTGCATGAGTCCATTTATATACATGTCTGGAACAGGAATATCAGAAGTTGAATTGTTGCCAGGGGGTGGAGGAGAAAGGGATGGGAAGTGACTGTCAGTGGGCAAAGTCCCTGTTGGGGTGATGAAAATGTTCTGATATTAGATTGTGGTGGTTTCACAAGTCTATGAATGTACTTATAAAATGCTGGATTATACACACTATCAATTTTAAAAACATTTAAGAAATGCCTTATTTGGCAAAACTGGTCTTATCCGATCCTCCCTACCTCTTGCCACACTGCTTCTGAGAGTCAAGCTCCTTCCTTAACTCAGACAAACGTGGGGTGAAGGAGCAGCTCAGTTTTTCATAGCCCAGCACCTTGGCCTCTGCTGCTGCCTTTGAGTCTGAAGAAGTCATGTCTTTTAGGTGTGTGATTTGGACCCTTCGGGAAATGAACACTGGCCCAGTGCTTTACACACCCATGTTCTCATACCTTCCACGAGGCTAAGGTTTTCTTTTTTGAGAAAAAGCTACTAGTTGTTTCTGGTCTATAAGGGGTTGAGAAGAACAGAGACTAAGCATTAAAAGTACTTCATGATGTCAAAAAATATAGTAATACAATACTTTTTTTGCTGAGTTGCGATGCTCATAATACAAATTTAATCATTTTGGAACTCTGTAATAGTCTATCTGTTGCAAAAAAGAAGCTTCTTTGATGAGTAGTGAATGGTATACATGTCTATAAATATAAGGATCCATATTTAGCATACAGTAAGAAATTACATTTGTCTAGAGATATGACAGATAATAGGGTTTTCTCTAGAATCTATGACCTCTCCAGTCAGGTGTACTTGGCTAGGCTTACAGTGCCACCCACGAGTTCCCTCGCATTGAGAGGGCTTTAAGTTCAATTAGATAGCTGTTGGTTACCCTCTAGATAAAAGTGCCACTACTGCCCCAGTATAGTTTGTTGTGCCAGTCTTTACAGAGTTCCACAACTGGTCATTCATACACAGCGAATATGTGTCTGAGAGATGCTCAGCCCTAAGTGACACATCTACAGTAGAACGTCTACACCTAAGGCTCAGAGGGTAGAGGGGATACTAATGCAGCCTTCAATTCTTACCAGTGAAGCTTCCTCATACAACAGAGTGTGATACACACAGAAGGCCACTACTGGCCGAGGTGTAGAGAATAAGAGACTGCAGAGTGCATGTCCCTGGGTAGGATTCTTATATTGAAAAGCTCACCCACCCATGACTCAGGAATCATTGTGGAAGAAGGGGTGGAAAGATCGTAAGAGCCAGGGTTGGTGCATGAACACAAGGAAACAGAGTTTTACAGGCCCCCAGGAACTTGCTCATATGAACTTGCAGCAATGGTGTCAGCATGCAAACTCAATCAGACAAAAACCCAGCATAGAACTGGGGAAATGGGCAGCAGGCCTCAACCTTAGACGAGGAACTATTGGCAACTGATTATTGCAGGTGAGGAAGAGTAAATTTTCCTTAAGGAAATGACTGTATATAGGCTGACTAGATTCCAGTGGATGAACTTGCCCCGAGGGACATCTGGGTACAAAAACTTGACTCAATAGGCCTTAACATACATGACAGAATACAGGGAATCTAGTTTGGAGAGGGAGTAAGGGGGCAAGGGTGTGGATGGGCTATAAAGATGATTAAGACGTATTGTATGAAATGCACAAAAATTCAATAAAAAATATAATAACCCCCCCCAAAACAAATTTAATCAATTCACTGTCATTTGGTGTACTTACCAGGTTGTATTAGTTGGTTTTCGGTCACTGTAACAAAGTAATTGAGTAAAATCAACCTTTAAAGGGCAAAGGTTTATCTTGACTAGTTTCCGACGTTTCAGCCATGATTGCTTGGCCCAATTACTTTTGGGCCTGTGGAGAAGCAGAACTTCCTGGCAGGGTATGTGGTAAAACAAGCTGCTCACCCTTCGTGACCTAGAAGCAAAGAAACAGGAAGGAGCTAGAGGTCAATATCCCCTTCAAAGGCACTCCCCCGGTTACCTAATTTCCTCCCACACTTGATTCTGCATCTTCCCCATGGACTGTGTGCCCCTTATGAATCAGACTGCATTGTTACTTGCCACCTAAGCAGGATTAGCCCAGAACACTGTCTTGGCCATGTTCTGATACATAGAGTATACAGAAGGCTGTTCCAGAGGGATGTTCAGATAGTGTCTGGCTTACTTGCAGAAAGAGAAGCTGTCACAGAAGGTGCTCTATAAATGAACACAGCAAATGTGTCACAGTAGTCAGGAATACATGGGGACATTGGTATTGGGGAAGGACTACCTCCAATGACCCCAGGATGAGAAGATTGGTTGTGTTGATACCAGATGTAAAGCTAGGCCTGGGACATGCCTGTCCTGGTACCCTCACAGAAGTAAAAAGTGAGGCAGTGTTGCCCAGCATGCCATGGCTTTGAGCAGGAGCTGCTGTTATGAAAAGCTGAGGTCTGAATGCAGGCTCTCATGTGCTCAGCCAGGGTGCCAGCTGTTCCCTAAGGCTGCCTCTGGTCCCTGCCTGCAGCACTGTCCTCTGGCTGGACACAGAGCCTGCTCCAGGTGCCCTTCCTGCACCAGGCCTGTGTCTGCCTCATAGTCCCTGCCGGACATCAACCTTCCTGGGACTAGGCTCTTGCAGGAGTTCTTCCAAGTGGTACTTTTCTGAGATTTATCATTCAGTTCAGCTTAGAAGCCTCCTGTTCTACCACAGGAGAGTCTCTTCCTTACTGATGCCTGAGGACCCCTGCAGACTTCCCCCTCCCTCTTGAGAATTGCCACCCTGAATAGAAGGCCCATGACAGATACTTTGAATAGGGAACATGCAACTGGTTCCCACTTCCCTTAGCCCTGCTATTTGAATACTTAAGGTCATTCTAGAGCTTCCTTTGCAGGTCAGGGTGGCCCAGTGACACATTTGGGCTGAAATCATCTAGGGAGATTCTGGGAAGGCTGTCCCTTTCAGGATTAAAAGAAAAAACAAAAAAAAGAGGTAAGACAAGAAAAAAAAAGAACATCACCTGTTCTCTCATGTCCATCTTCCTGCCTTGAATATAAATGTAATTCTTGGTGGCTCAGCTATTTTAGCTGTTATAGCTATTTTAAAACCACGAGGCAAAAAGTCAGCACACTGAAGGTTGGTTGGAGGTGGAACAGCTGTGGAGGACTAGAGGCTAAGAGACAAAATCCTAAGACGTAGACCTTCAAAGATAAGATCTTTAGCTATGATTATTCACACATAGAAATCTTACAAAGAATCTAGATACTAACTGACAAAAAAAATTTTCCCCTCTGCCCTGGAGAGATGCAGTTTCCCTCATGGGAATGCACAGGGCAGAAGACCCAGCATAGGGATGGACTAGAAGCTGTTTTAGTTCCTTTCCAAAGGTTGTCTTATTCTGAGTTTAATATGGCCCTGTAGTAAGACATTTCAGAAGTCATTCCTCCCTGGCTGGGACCCTATGGAAAAAAGGCTCGCTCATTGGAGCTAAATGGAGAAGTCATGTCTCAACAGAGCTGCTGTTGCCCAATTGGAGCCTTGTTATTTGGCTAAAGATACCTGTTCGCTTATTTGATGGGGGAGGGGGGAGGCACTACATGCCCAAAGCTTGAGAGATTTTATTTTAAAAAATTCATAAATGTGTCTTCTTGTCCCATTTGTTCCACCTTTAGACATAGGCACTGCCTCTACCCTGAGCCCACACTCTAGAAGTCCCTGTTGTTCCCCACAGCCATATTCTCTCCATAGGGAAGGGCATCTTTCTG